GATGAGGTTGAGGGATTTGTGTTGTTGTTGTTGTTGTTGTTGTTGTTGTTGTTGTGTTGTGTTGTGTTGTGGTGTGGTGTGATGTGTGGTGTTGTGTTGTGTAGTGTTGTGTGTTGTTGTATTGTGGTATTGTGGTGTTGTGTTGTTGTGTTATATTGTGTTGTTGTGTTGTGGTATTCTGGTGTTGTGTTGTTGTGTTGTGTTGTGTTGTTGTGTTGTTGTATTGTGTTGTGTTGTTGTGTTGTTGTGTTGTGGTATTGTGTTGTTATGTTGTAGTGTTGTGTTGTATTGTGTTGTGGTGTTGGGAGAATTATATTTATATTTGCACTCTTATTAACGGTTAAACACCCTTGTTAACGTTTGATTTATATTTGCAGGCCGGGACTTCTTCACAAGGTGTAGCCGGGGGTAGTCATAATACAACTGGTGTTGAGGATGAGGATGATGATGATCAGGAGGATTGATTGTAATTAATATAACTTTAAAAATAATTTCTTATGTTGTATAAACAATATTTATTATGTACCAGTCGAGAAACTTTTATTTGTTTTTATTGAAATAAGTGTGTGATATATGCGTGAGATTGAATATTATACTGCTAAATGAACAGGTTTTTTAAAATTATTATCGATATTATACAGGGTTTTTCCAATTTTCAGAATATTATTCAAAATATTTTTTTAAAAATTATTATTTTTAGCGACGGATTTTCCGTTGCTAAATACGTATTTAGCAACAGATTTTCCATGGCTAAAAATTGTATTTAGCGACGAAAAACGTGCATGGAAAAAAAATTGACATTATAAATACAAAGAATTAGCGACGAAAATTCCGTCGCCAAAAATGTATTAGCGACGGAATTTCCATCGCTAATACTTTTTTTATTTTTTTTATTTAATTTTTAAATGGCAACGAATTTGTCGTCGCTAATACACCGTCGCTGAACATTAGCGATGGAAATTCCATCGCTAATACCATTTTTAGGGACCATGTATGTAGCGTCGAACTTTTAGCGACGGAATTTTATTTTTTCCGTCGCTAAAAGTTTTAGCGACGGAATATACACCTTTAGCGACGGAAATGTCCGTCGCTAAAAGGTGAAAATCCAGCAGTGTAGCTATATTCACATGTCCTACACCATCTCAAACAAATATCAATACCAAATGAGAGATTGTTATTACTCAAACAAAAGCTATTGTGCGGACTACAACCTAACACATTTTATAGAAACCATCTTTCCCTTTTAATTTATACGTAAACTACCTTTAAAGTGGGTTTTTGTTTCAATTAACTACCTCCCAGTTAAATTTTCACTGAAACCCTAAAAATACCCTTAAAAACTCACATTTAAGACACATAACTCACTTTGTTAATGTTTACGTCAAGTTAGGATTTAGTCACGTACTCTAAGCGTGCATTTTTTTGACGTTACTTTTAGTTTTTAATGAAGATTTGGCGATATAGAAAATAAAATGCGGTTTTTATAAAATGACCATTTATAAGGTGGTTTCTAGGAAAACCTTTAATAATTTTATAAAGACACTGCTGTTAGGATTCTATTATGTGCTTTTGACCAAACCATGCAGTTCACAAAATACAATTAACAAAATTTAAGATCTACATAAAAGTGAAACAAGAAATCAAATCAGAGACAAGAATTTTTAAGTAATCACAATTTCCGGCTACATTTTTTTCCTCACTATAAACCTGAGACCTTTTTCAAATCTTCCTGAAAGCTATACAAAAAAAATTCTTATTCCTTTCAGCATGTTTATTCAGCCTATCTCCGCTTCTTTCTTAATGCCAAGATATGATGGAATAGTATATACACACACATACATCTGACCCAATCAAACAAACTGATCGGTCCATCGTCTAATCAACAGATTGGTCGATCACCCAAGCATTCTAGCTAGTATTCTTCTATCGATTGGGTGGCTAATCCTCAAATTTTTTGCTCTGTGATGGAATGATCGGTGGACTGATTTTTGTGGGTTGAAAATCTAATTTGTAAAAGATCTTATAAACAACATCTACCACTATACCAAAACTCTGAAGTTATGGTAATGATTGACTGAGAGAAGTAGTTTTATACTCTTAATAAAAATAATATAAAACTTGTGCCCAAAAGAAAAAAAAAAGTATAAAACCAAGTTCAAATATGGTACTAAATCAGTGCTCAAGGAAAGAATCAACAAAAACACAAACAAATCAATCTTTATCAATTCACATTCTCCATCTTGCTTGCATAAGATGCTTGCATAAGATGTGCAAACACTATCGTCTATCTACCATTTCCTCAAGCATGAGATTTCTAGATTGAAAAGGACAAACAAGGAATCGAGCATTAGAAACTATATCGACTATACTCTTTCACTTTTATTTTCTGCCGAGATTCTGTGGGAAACTAGCAAAAAGAACAATACATTCACCTTACAAAACCAACCTTGTAGCAATCAACCAAAAAACCACGATAGAAAAAACCTCTACAAAGCAGCAGGATAGAGAATAATAGCGTTTACATTATATTTTACATACAGCATAAAAGCTACAAAAGAAAATAAAATAAAAACCTAAACTCAAAAAATTCTACATCCTCTTCGGTTCATCTCCTTAAGACCCAAGGGAAAGACTCTTCATTCTAATTACAACCCCAGAAAACAAAATAAAAAAAAGGGTAATTTCACCCATCCCACCCACGTCTCTTTCCCCCATCAAAAAGAGTCACTTATTCCTAATACCTTCCAGCATATTTATAACCAACCCCCTCAAATTTCTCTACATTACAGAACACGCATTAGGGTTCTCATCACTAAACATTTGAGGAGGATATGCATACTCCATCGGCTGATATCTTGGATAATAATAATAAAATTCATTCCTTTTCTGCTCAACCTTTACAGCACCTCCGGGGCCGGTCACTACTGGGGCAGATGCTGCTGCCTCATCCCCGGCGACAGCATCTTTCTTCTCCACGGCTTCTTTCTCGGTTTTCTCACCTTCGGGCTTTTCTTCAGTCTTTTTATCTTCTTTGGGCTTCTCATCATCCTTGGGCTTTTCTTCGTCAGGCTTTTTCTCTGGCTCAGTCTTGACAATGATGGCGTGCTTCCCTGTACGCTTGTACATGTATTCTACCAGTTTTGGGGGGTCGAATATGCCTTTCACTGTAACTTGTGAGGCTTTGAGCTCAGGTTCGGCAGACTGAACACCTGAAATATGAAATGTTCCAGCAATGTTAATAATTGAACAAGAGTCTGTATTATGAGAGATTAACAACTTTGTACTCCCAAATTTATTTTATTATAAACACAAACAATCTAATATTGCATAGGACCCTGAAATATTTCAGTGTTCCCGGGTAATAAAGAAGTTTAGAGATACCAAAGTGGCTAGACGTATTTGTATTTAATACTTTAAAATTATGAATGTTGTATTCAAATTTGGATTTTAAACAAATATTTATTTTGTAGTTGAATGAGAAGGTTGTCAGAGGCTTTTGGGGGAGATTGTCACCAACGTTGTTCTTAAAAAAAAGAAAGGGTACTATTTGACAATTAAAAAGGGTGAGAGCTACAAATCGAGATCTTGAGTTAAGAAACAATAAAATATGGGCGCAGATCGAATCAAAGAACAGTCCTTAACAGATTATTGAATTGAAAAAAAGTCTCATGCTATTCTCGTAAACTATGACCAGATCATTAATTTTAAATTATAACTTTTGAAAAAAAATTTCCCCTAGTAATAATAATAATATAAGCAAGAAAAATTTGGACAAGAAGTACAAACGTTGAGAAATGCCAGATCACAGTAACTCTCAATAAAGAATTTAGAAGCAAGTTTCAACAATACATACATATAAACTATATAAAGTTAATTGAGGGAATTTAGCTTCGAAATATATGTATGCTAAAAATGCTTATGGAGTAGATTTTTAGTAGAGAAGTGGTGAAAAAGGAGAATTTAGTATAATAATTACAAAACACCAGTTAATAACAAACAAAAGGTACATCAACTAGCCATTACAAAACAAAATAGTTCAGAGGCATGCAAAGCAATGTCCCCTAAAAGTAAATGGAGGCAACTGTACTACTATGAAGGTTAAATAATTCAGCATCTTTAGAAATAAGAGAGTGGAGAAATTTTTATATTGTACCACGAATTAAGACTGATTCCGTCTTCGTGCCATATTTGCAAAAAAAATAAAATAAAAAAAATATCGATGATTATAACTTTTCTACTAATCCATTTTCGTGATATAGTCATGAGAATATAATTCCAGGTGATCTTGATTCGTACATCAACTACAATACCAAGTTGATCAGTACAAAATCCCTAAGACCCCTAACCCAAAATTAGGTATATCTTTCAGTCATCACTAATGACTCGCACCGAGCGAGCACCCCCTGCTCACCCTCTTTCAACTCTCCATGCTTGGACTAAGGGCTCATTTGATATTGCTAGAAGGACAAAGGACTCTCTATCAGAACACATAATATGACAACGGGTTGATCTATATCTATACCATATAAACGGGTTGCTAGAAGGTTAGGTTGGGAATTATGATTATTCAATCAAAGGCGCAAATCCATCCACCGAACTATTATTTCTGCGGGGGTGGTTCTGATAGGATCTAGACTAGAGAGATAAGTTGCTTAGATAAGCCAACTTATAAAAGCAACTCACATAAGCTGTGAAACATAATTGTTCAATAATCATAATATCATATAGGCCGCTTCAACATCGCAACTTGTTTATTGTTAGTAAAAATTAATTTTTTTTTCCTGTAAGGAAAACCTCAATTCAAGATAATATTGAGGGTGTTTGGTTGCATTGTTTTTGAGAAATGTTTTCTCAAAAGTACTGACGCATGGCATTTATGTAAATAAGAGTTTTCTATACATTTCTATAAACTGTGTTTGGCTCCAAAAAAATTTACAGAAATGTTTTCTATAAAGTGCCCAAAAGTACCAAATTTTATGGAAATTGATTTCCTTCTAAAATGGGAGGAAATCTCTTGGAAATCTGACGCATTCATTATTTAAATAATAAAACTCATTAACTCTTTTCTACAAAGTTCTCACTTTTCTATAAAGTTGGTGGTGTTTGGTTATATTTCTATAAATTATAGGAAATGTTGCTATTTTCCCAAAAGTTATTTCTCATTTTCTTGTTTTGAACCAAACAAGCACAATATAAAAAATAAGAAAATTTGTACTTTTTAACTTCTCAAAACTTTTCTTATAATTTTTTTAAAAAATACAAGGAAATCAAATTTGGGATGGAAAACATTTCCTATAATTTATAGAAATGTAACCAAACACCCCATAAATCTAGAGTGTATGTATGCTAGAAAAACGCAGCAATTTTTAAAAGCATCATCAGATAGCTTCCTAAAAAGCACCTTACAAAAGTAGGCTGGCGGCTTGTCTAACCAAGATCTTTTTTTTAATAACTAAAGATAACTATTGACTGCTTCTTAAAATAAGAATTAAGCAGCAGCAACCTAAAAATACAAATATCGAATTGGCCCCAACTCCTTTTGTTACCAAAGATGGGACCTGAATAAAACTCATTAGGCCACAAAAAAGTCCTAAAAGTGCAAATTTAAAATTGTAAAATTAAAAGGTGAGAATCCATAACCTTTCATCTTTAGAATCCTCTTCTTGATCTCTTGTGCGCAGGCCTCACAATGCATGTGCACCTTCAGCACCACCGCAATCACTACAGGCTGTAACACAAACAAAACAGCCAAAACAAAATTCAAAATTACTCCCCTGCATCTCCAAACCACTACAAATCAACCCGTACAAAAGTAAAATAATGGAAATTTTACAAACTGACCTCCTCTTTCTTTTCTTCAACTTTGGGCTTCTCCTCCTCCTTCTCTTCTTCCTTCTTCTCCTCCTTCGGCGGAGGAAGCGGAGTCAAAAGCTGGACTTTTCGACCCGTTTTCTTCTGAACTCTGTCGACAACCTTCAACGGATCCTCTGCAGCCTTCTTGCCTTTAACCACCACCTTGTGAGTTTTACAGTCGGTCCTCACATCTTCCACACCTTCACACAAAACCCATTGTCATTCCCTACATATTTTTCAAGGTTTTTCGCTGGCAAATATACACCAAAATCTACCGTATTTGCAATTTGCTAATTTACACTCAATTCACCAACACGTGTTTTCTCAATTTCGCTAAGTACACTCTGGTTAAGTTAATTTATTAATTTGTAACTTAGATACTAAAAAAATTAAATTGCTATATGGGGGGGTTTTGATAAATTTCCCCTTTTACCTTCAAAGCCTTTGAGGGAACGCTTGACCTTGCGAGCGCAGCCCTCGCAATGCATGAACACTCTCATCTCAATCTCTTCCGGCGGAGGAGGAGGTGGTGACGGCGTCTCCTCCGCCGGCGGAGCGTCGCCGGAGGGTTTCTCTTCACCGCCCTCTTTCTTGGGCTCGTCCTCTGGCTTTGGGGTCGGGTCCTCCGCCTTCGGTTTCTCGTCCTCCGCTTTCTTCTCCTCTTCTGGCTTCTTCACTTCCTGTAACAACGAAGTTAAAAAGAAAAAAAATTCATAAAAGCCCAAAACAAAGAGAAATAGCAAAATAAACTACAGAAAAAAGAGAACTTTTTTCCCTCCGTCAAAAAATGATAAAAAAGGAAACTTTAAGGAAAGCCCTTGTAGCCAAGAGGGGCTTATCGTGAACATAAATAAAATTCCTGCAAATATAATCAAACTTTTCTTTGTAAAAAAAGAGTCCAAGTACAACTTTATAATGGGCTTGAAAGACTAGATTATTAGAACCAAACTCACGAAAAACACACTGTTAGATTTAAGAATCAGGTTCAACGATTAACTCTTAATTGGCAAAAGGTAGGGGGAAAAAGAAGAAGAAGAAGAAAATTTAACTTCAAATAAACAATTTAAAAATTTGCAGGAGGACACAGAACCGACCTCCCCCATTTGCTCTCGTAACACAATAAGCTAATGCTGACGATCTCCTCTCTCTCTCTCTCTCTCTCTCTCTAGCCTCTTCTTCTCAAAACACACTCTCTCTCTCCAGGGCGAAGGAGATGTGGGCTTTTATTACGGAGACACGTGCGATTGCACGTGCCTCCGCTTGCCAAGTGTTACACCCTCACCGTTGTCCTTCACCGCGGGCACACTCTAATGAGGGTATCTATCCTACTCCATCACTAGCCACACCCTGACTAATTCTGTACTTAGTAGGATACTGCGAGGCATTGGAATGTTTGACGATTTACGACGAGGAACCCTCAAATGCACCGCCCAACTAGGACGGTCCCACTGAAGTTATATTCGCACCCAATAATGCACCTCTGTTACGATTCTGGGCCCGTTTTTAGCTTTATTTGGATTTTAGTTTCTTGGTGACTTGGGGGGTAGGTTTATGTAATCTTCTAAGTTTGGAAATGTAACCGAGGGCAAAGAACAAGGTAATAAATGCAGTAAGTAAATTTCGAACATTAGGAGAGGGAATCTCCAGCCCTTCCCCTCACAAGAAAAGTGCACTGCAAATTAATAAAAGAAAAATGATTTAAGGATCCAAAATATAAGACCAAATAAGGAGACAGGTGATGTGTCTACTCTCTATTACATAATGAGTTGGCATGGCCAACTCATTATGCAATAGGGATGGGACACCTCACATGTCCCCTCCCTTAGTCCTATATTTTGGGTCCCCGTAGCAGTACTCATATTGTTCAGAAATGTATATTGGGTTAATTTCAGAAAACCCTAGGATCTTTGGGGAATTCACACATACACATATCTAGGCCTGAGCATGATTCGGTCCAAACCGACCGAACCGATCCGAAAAAATCATTTTATGAGTAGGACAGTTCGGGTCGGGTTGAAAACTTTTCAACCTGAACCGACTCGAACCGACCGAATATACTACAAGTCTTAGTCTGCAATTCTCAAACCCTACCCGACCCGTCCCCAACCCAAAGAGTCAAAAGACTCAAACCCTAAAAGGCCTAAACTCATTTCCTCTCCCAGCCGCCGCTCCTTATCTTTTCTCCATGGCGCTATTTCTCAAGCCTCACACTTCGACCCCTCACTCTTAGATCCACTTTCTCCTAAAATCGCCACCCGTTCGCTCTTCTTGATCGTCTTCTGTCACTGGGAACCCCGACCCTAGATGTAGCGTCCTCCAGGAGCAGCTCGGGCGCTGTGATGCCCATGGGTTCACACAATACTACAGTCCGAGGTAAAACCAGGAATGTCAAACCTGTCATGCACCACATCGTGTAATAACATGTTTCACCATCATAATTACTATCTCTCTAGTAGAGTCAATAACAGGTGTAGGTACAAAAGCAAGTAAAAGATAATACAAGAGATATATGATGAAATAATAGAGATAAAAAATATATTTCATCATCCAACATATAAAAATATAAAGTGAATATCTGAAATAACTAGTCTGGAGATCTCAACAAGTCTCAAATACAAAATATCTGATAAAAAAAAATAAGGCACACAGCCTTTACAACTTCTAGAACATAGCTCTCAAATGTCTAAACAAAATATCTACAGTGAAGCTCCATAAATAAAATAAAACTACAAATGAAAGATGAACGCTAATAAGTATCGCCATCAACTTGCGACTCTCCGTGCACCTGACTCGTTACCTGAAATGGGAGGGGACAACGAGCGTCAAAGCGCTAGCGAGCAACATCACAACTAACCCAAAGGAAGAGGGCTCATTGTATATAGAAAATACAGTCAATACATAATAATATAAAATCATTGATCCTAACAAAATGAGGATTTTAGTATTTAGAAATTTACAACACGAGCATAGGTACGTCGAGCGAAATAATCCAAACAATGAAACCCTCATGTATATACCTTGTATCTCGAATTGTAGACCCCTAAATACCAAATCCATAAATCTAATACATGGAACAATAAAAATAAAGAAAAAACAAACTCATCTCAAAACTCAAATACCATGTCATGTCAAAACTCACATAAGTGTCATGTCCAGTCTATGTAAGTGTAAGTGTCATACACAATGTTTAAATAGGTGTCCAACACATGGATTACGACTAGGTATAGTGGATGCCTAACACATGGACTGCATATATAAATTGTCCAACACATGGACTGAATGATGAATGTCCAACACATGGACTGAATATGATGAATGTCCAACACATGGACTGCCCATAATAATTGCCCAACAGATAAACTGAATGAAATGTGTAGAATATCGATGAGATATATGAAAAGGATGCATATACACTAATTTCACGCGTGTCTCGGTGTGCAAATCTAAACTCATGTCCGCAAGTCATCTCACATATGAAGATACATAATAAACAATAATTTCTAACGTCAAATATTCGAGGTGACTCCCCGTTCACATTAAAGCACACAACAAAAGTAAACATGCACAAATTGTGCCACTGATCAACCGAAACATGCAGAAACCCTTCACACGTTTCTATCTGCTTCGAAACAAATCTAGAAGTAACATTATTATTTTCCAAGCTTAATATTACTGATATCAACATATATGAAACAAGATGAAATGAAATATTAGCATGTAAATATATCGTCGAAACCCTAAACATTTATATACACATGTTTAAAAGTTTTAAAAGTAAAAACTTGTGATTTAATTCATGATTAATAAATTTGAGATCTGAAATTTGTCAAGGTTACTATTGTAATCAATTAGAAAATTATGATAATGTATTCTCACTTCATAAGTTATAAAGATCTATCTTTTGTACACTAAAAATACGTTTTAGGCTCGAAAAATCCGAATAAAACTTAATAAAACGTGTAAAATAAAAGGGTGCAGAGTTGGACGAGATGTTACTTGCCTCAGATGCTAAAAAAACTCCTGCCACGTGAAAGAAAACCAATCCCCTTCGGTGTACTGCACAAAACCAGCTGAAAAGTCCTCCGAAATCCCTCAAAATCGCCAAAGAAAAGAAGTAGGGTTTGAGAGAGGGGAAAAGGGGCTGCTAGGGTTTGGAACACAGGAGAAAAGAGGTGTTTTTCGTGTTTAAGCATGTGTATATATGACAGCAAACCCGAAAACTATAGCCCAAAACCCGAAACCCGAAACTGGAAAACCAGTCCGACTAGAAACATACTCTTCGGTATTTTAGCTGTAACTTTCGCATACGACCTCGGAATGAGGTGATTAAAGATTTTTTAAAAAGATGCTAAAGATATCTACAACTTTGGCCTTTTAAGTTTTTCCATATCCGTAACATATCAGTGTGTAAAATACAAAATCTCTCCACTGTTCATAAATTTTTAGATTTATACATCGAGCATGATTTGTGCATTTGCTCTTATATATATATATATATATACATTAAATTGATCTCAAATCAATTCCTAGCATACTCAAACATCATAATATGTTATTTATAAATATATAACATATTTATTATTATTTATCATAAAATATTCAAAATTTTAAGGTTTTACATGATGGCCTTTAGACTTTAACCTGCTCCTATTACTACCTCTCGAATATCTCCCGAAGTACTAGCACGAGAAGTCTTCTTGTCATTCATCTTTAAATCATAGTTCGTCAAAGCATTAGTTACTTCACTATAGCTGATAGAAGATCTCCCATTCAACAAAATAATCACAAATGTATCATACTCCTCATCCGGTAAGGAGACCAACAAAATAATCGTCTTGTACTCATCCGATATATTCTCATTAATATTCGCCAAGTCTGACAATAACCTAGTGTAGTTGTTCACATGAACTGATAGCGAGGTGCCCCTGGACATCTGAAATCTGAATAATCTACGCAATAAGTGCAATCGGTTCTCAACACTCTTCGTAAGATACTTATTGTTGAGAATCTCCCACATCTTCATTGTAAACGTCACCCTAATCATATCATACTTCAGCTCTTATTCTAAACAGGACCTGATCACCCCACAAACTTTCCTATTCATCTTTTCCCATACCGCCTCCTCGTATTTTGATGGCCTCTCATGGACCATGATGGTCTTTTCTAAATTTTGAGCATTGAGAGTGTCCTGTACGTTGTCCATCCACAAACCAAAATTGATTTTGTTGTCATATTTAACCAAACTAATTTTAGTGTTTTGAAAACCAACTTGAATTGTACCCGTCATTTTGCTGCTTTTACCATCTTTTTCACCCATACTCACAAACTCCAAATTGTAGAAAAAAATCAAACTTTGATAGGATTGAGAAATTACCCAACTGAACCCTAGATTAGATTCTAAATAGATCCCCTAACCACACAAGGAAAACGAGATCCCAATGGCAACTCCGCAATGCTATCTCCACCGAAGCTTAGAACTCCAGGAACCAAGCTTCCACAATAAATCTTCCTCCACGCAATGCCAAAATCCTAATCTTAAATCTGAGCTCTGATACTAATTTTTGCGCACCGTGCGAAAGTGTGCTCGACAACCAAACGAGTTGGTGAGCAATGAGAGAAGAAAATCAAACCAAATACGAGTGTAATTCACCAAAATACGACACAAATCAAACCAAACACAGTGATTTACGTGGTTCGACAATTGCCTACGTCCACGGGGAGAGGATGGAGATATTTTACTATATGAAGGAGAAATACAACGGGTTACAACTCACAAAATCACTCAAATATAACCCTAACAAAAGCTCTCAACACCCTCACAATATCTCCCTCTCAAAGTGCTCAAAAGACTGCTAATTCTCTCCTTAAGGAACCCTAAAAAACGTGTTTCTATTTATAACAAACTCAATCCTAAACAATGTAGGACTCCGAAAACGAGTCTACCACACCCGGGGGTGACAGACACCACACCCCTAAAAACAGAGCAGATTCTGTCACACCTAGGTGTGGCAGACATCAGACCCCTGACAACAGGGGACATATTCTGCCACCTGAGTGTGGCAAACACCACACCAGGGTGTGGTGGAGCCTGTATTGCTTATGTTTCACGTTTTTCTCAATTCTTTCTCTCAATTCCTTCGCCGTTTTCACAGTATTAACTATGGATTTGTCGTACTTCATATGATTAGCTAAACTATTGGATT